TAATTGATATAGTCTATATCATAGTTGTGATTTGGAGAAAAAGAATCTATGGCAAGAATATGAAGAAAAATGATTAATTTTGCATTTTCTATTTTGATTTATTTCTGTAATTTCATAATAAGAAAATAAAACTATTTGAAAACATAAAAAATATCACAAATACTAATCAAAACTCTAATTAAAATGTACATTCATATGATACTAACTGGACAAGTTAATTTTTTTTATTAATATTGAATTCATTAATTCATTCACACTATCTTCATGAAATAAAAAAAAGGGGGAGGCTGCGATAAGGATATTTGTCTGATTTATCAACTTCAGTTGGATAAGTTAAATTTTCAAAATTTATTCTTTTAAATATATATTATCATGCATTGGTGAAACACAGGTAATTCCAGGTAAATCCCAGATGGAGATCAGAGTATAATTACTATCAATACATATTTCACACCTATTGTTCTATACCTAATTATCAAATGTGTGCAAAACGGGAACACACCAATCAAACACCGCTATCTTCTACAGCTACTTCTTGGGAAATAATTTAACACGTCTCAAAAATAGAACCTATAGGATTTTAATCCAAATGATAAAATTATGATTACGTACACAGAAGTATTAAGACAATTTCTACTCCCTTTCCTTTTATTAGATAAGGAAATGATTGTAGTGTCCAGGATGACCTTGTAGTGATTGACCTTGAAAATTGGCAAGGTTCGGTTTCTGAATAAATTCCAATTAAATTCCAGGAAAATGTAGTTAGAATAAGGAAAATATAATGCAGCTGAAATGTAGTCGATCGTCTTAAGGATATTGCTGTGAATGTTAATTCTAAAGAAGATAGAAGAATATTAATTATTTGGAGTATCTCTGTGCACCAAAGCATATGGAATGAAATGTATGGAGATAACGAACAGTATTCAAGCTCAAAAGTCCATAAAACAATACAAAATAGGAGCAGAGCAAACACGGACCTCCAAACATCAGAGGTGGGATCAGGTGCCATGGAGGAGTGAGCATCCCCTGTCGACCGGTCACACCCGCCGTGTGCTCCTTATCATGATCGGGAAATAACGAAAAAATCCGTCGACAATTCAGTGTGTAAATAATGGCTTAACAATTAGTATGAAAAACGTCAGTCAGCATTTGACTCAATGATAAATTGTATTTGCTGACAAGGTCATTGTTTCGACCATAGAACTTACGAAATGATGACTTTAAATGAGACAGCTGATATTCTTGTCTCATCAACTTATTTGTCAATAAATTACCTCGTTTTAGAAATTGTACATACCTAGAGCATGCTCATGCGTATCGAATCAACGGAGAGATATATACCCCGTATGCCGGTGATGAAGGTATATTGCTGCATAAGTAAGGGAAGTTGACAATTGAAAAGTTAAAGTCATCACGTTTATCATAAAGCTTGGTTGTTAGATTACCATTAACGTCTTTTTCAAGTAAAATATCCAAATATGAAACAGATGTGTCAGACTCTGTGGTATCTTTTATCTCAAGTTCACCAGGATATATCGTAACTAAATTAAATTAAATTAACTTAATTTGTTTTTAAATTTGCCTATTGTGTAGACTATCAAAACCGATAAAGATCATTTAAACTAACCAATTTTATAGCGCCTCTGACTATAAAACAGTCTTTGTATTATTTTTTGTGTCCCCGCCATGAAATGGCCAGGGCATATAGTGTTACCCTGTTCCGTCATCTTTCACTTTCCGTTCATTATCTCTGCAACAGTTGCAGACATTCAACTCAAATTTTATATATGGATATGTCATAGGAATACGCAGGTCAAGTTCGAATTTGGTCATGGTCCGATGATTTTTGACAGAGTAACTTTATGCCTCTTGAACTTTAAAAACTGGACTACCTTTTGCAGCTCACTCTCACTCTAGCCTAATGTCCACGAAACTACACTGGTCTCCCTATTGTGGCCTCACGCTCACTCTAGCCTTATGTCCATAAAAACTACACTGGACTCCCTATTGTGGCCTCACTCTAGCCTTATGTCCATAAAAACTACACTGGACTCCCTATTGTGGCCTCACTCTAGCCTTATGTCCATAAAAACTACACTGGACTCCCTATTGTGGCCTCACGCTCACTCTTGCCTTATGTTCATAAAAACTACACTGTACCACAGGTACTTGTGAACAGGACCCCCCCCCCCCTCTAATATGCCCCACAGGTCAAAAAATATTTTTATGTATTTTTTTCATAAATTATTCTTCTAGTGCACATTTACAATGTATTCCATAAGAAAAATCCAAAAAATAACGCAGAATTAACGTTTTACTAAAAAATCATACCCGCGGTATTATAAAATAGAGAAGGTTAGTCACTTCCATTTGTTTACACTGGACCCCTCTTGGATATCAGGCCCGAAATATCATTTACCTAATACATGTCACCGAAATGTGTCATGATATCTTGTTTCGGTAGATATTTTTGTCTTTAATCGTGCTATTTAATTGCCCAGGCATCCCATAATAATCCGAGTATTCATCGTCAAACGTGAAAAATGCTACAAGATTTGGAAATGTCAGAGTAGAAATTACGGAAGTGATGCAAAAACGACACCTAGCGTGTAACTCTCGAGTTCCGAGTGTTATAGAACTAAGGGAAAAGTCAGAGGTCTACGAAAAAGTTCGGGAAAATTTTAATAAAGAAGTCGAAATTGATTCATTAGAATTAAATTCTGCTTAAGATTTTCGAGAAGAGCGAGGGTAGTCGTCAATATTCCCTTTAAAGGATGTTATCATTGATACCAAGTAGCGGTTTAAAAATCGCTTAAACATTATAAACTTGACATGTAACCCCCCCCCCCCCCCACTCCACCTCGACCGCCTTCCCCATCTGCGTGGACATGGAATTTTCATTAAATTGTGTCTGCGGTGGATATCCATTAAACTAATGTGGTAGTAAATATAATATTTAGAATGATAAACTAGTTTTAAAAATAAGTAAAGACAGAAATGTGATTATTTAAAACTGTACAAAAAAATCTCTTTTTTCCCCCATTTGTTATGAATTCGCTACATGTATTTAATCAATATTGATTAATTTGGGGACGGGGGCTGTGCAACGTCATTACAAGTTACAGTGTTGAAGAAAAACAAATTGACCGGTTGATGAATGGTTGTACAACCCATGCAATATTTAAACGTCAATTGCTACGTAATACAAGTTGCAATTATCTAACTATGACTGTTAGAAAAGACGTACCTAAAGAACTTTTTTAAAAGTCTTTATTTTATAGAAGTTAAGCTTCCGTTTGTTCAATTAAAATAATAGCATCTTGATATATATGTAATCAAGGCCAGAAATAAACTCAGCAGTGCGACGCGAAAGTAAAGAAGAGCATGAAAATTATTATTATTATTTTTTTTTTTTTAAAATGGGGTTCTGATTTTCATTCTTAAGAATTAATTTTGAAAAGACTCACATTTAAATTCCTTGGCAAATGAAAATCATCGCATAAGAATATTAAAAAATACACATAATTATTAAGCTTAATATTATCGGAATTAATTGCAAGCATGTCCATGTAGAAGGGGAAGGGGGGTTACATATCTTGTAAGTTGTAAATAAATGTTTAAGCGATTTTTAAACCGCTACTTGGTATCAATGATAACATCCTTTAAAGGGAATATTGACGACTACCCTCGCTCATCTCGAAAATCTTAAGCAGAATTTAATTCTAATGAATCAATTTCGACTTCTTTATTAAAATTTTCCCGAACTTTTTCGTAGACCTCTGACTTTTCCCTTAGTTCTATAACACTCGGAACTCGAGAGTTACACGCTAGGTGTCGTTTTTGCATCACTTCCGTAATTTCTACTCTGACATTTCCAAATCTTGTAGCATTTTTCACGTTTGACGATGAATACTCGGATTATTATGGGATGCCTGGGCAATTAAATAGCACGATTAAAGACAAAAATATCTACCGAAACAAGATATCATGACACATTTCGGTGACATGTATTAGGTAAATGATATTTCGGGCCTGATATCCAAGAGGGGTCCAGTGTAAACAAATGGAAGTGACTAACCTTCTCTATTTTATAATACCGCGGGTATGATTTTTTAGTAAAACGTTAATTCTGCGTTATTTTTTGGATTTTTCTTATGGAATACATTGTAAATGTGCACTAGAAGAATAATTTATGAAAACAATACATAAAAATATTTTTTGACCTGTGGGGCATATTGGAAGGGGGGGGGGGGTCCTGTCCACAAGTACCTGTGTTTTAAACGGATGAATTGTTCGTGTAATGAATAAATTGTATTGCAGATTTTATAGTGACCACAAATTAAAGATGACAAATTGAAATTCAATTATATTTTTTTTCTATTTTATGCAGAAAATATCGTCGTAAATTCAAAACAAGGGAATCAGGTGGAGCTGGAGCTGGGAATTTTTTCATAACCTTTTTGCTTCTCATGACTTTTTCTGTTTTCTATCTCATCAATTACTACAAAACTAAATCAAAGCCTCGTCCAATACAAGTCGACGATACACCCTTAACAGAAGAAGACATAACAAAATATTATAATTTCACGCAATTTAATAAAACCCATCAAAGACTGCATTACACCCTTTCCCCTATAAATGCTTGTGAAGGGTTTAGGACGGAAAATAATTTTTCTCGTACATTAATTCTTGTGAAATCATCGTCGGAAAATTTTCACACACGGAAATGGTTCCGATGGAATATAAAACAGCAGACAGATATAAATGACAATTTTAAGATAGTTTTTCTACTAGGACAATCTCCCTCTTCTTCTACGAGCGAGCTTATAAAAAAGGAAAGTAAACTACACAACGATATCATACAGGGAAACTTTACAGATATCGGGAATAATTCCACGTACAAAACTATCATGGGATTTCAGTGGGCTCTCAAGTATTGCCAAACGTCTCAGTTTCTCCTTCTCCAAGAAGAAAATTTTAAAATAAATTATAAAAACGTGATGACATTTCTGGAAAAAGAGGATGATCCAGAATCCCTATACGTTGGAAAATTGATCCGCAAGGAACAGACAACTTACAGCAATCCCGATCATATCAGATATATTCCGAAGGAGGAGTATCCTCTTCAGTTTCTTCCGCCCCACATTGCCAGTGGAGCCTATCTAGTCAGCATCAACGTTGCCAAAACGCTTGTGTCTAATTTTGACTCTGTAAAAATGGTTCGCGTGGATGATGTGTTCTTGGGACTCGTTGCAATGTTAAGTGACGTCATTTTAGTTCACTCCAAAAAGATAACCCTTGAAAATTGTGCCAAATTCACAAAGATGTTAGCGTGTAGGGCATTCACTTCGGCAGAGGAAACACTCAGTGCGTGGGAGGAATCGTTTGAGATCAATTTCTGATAGAGAGAAGAAAGGGAAATGTTCAATATTATTGACTTATTTGTATTATGTATATTGAGTTATTGACTGTGTTATTTACTCAGATTTACTGTTAGGCATAATAAAACACAAGAATGTATTTTTTTTTAATTTAAAAAAAATCGAATCATTTTTACGGGAAAAATATATCTGACTTATATACAAATTAGAATAATATGCACCACAAGTAAGATAACATGTTTTATTACCTAATACAATTGATTTTTGTTTTTTTTATCAAAAATATAGCATTATAGAGTCATTGACTGGGTAAGAAGGAAACATATGATTTGTTGGACCTGAAGGTAAAATGTTCCCGATGCCGCAGGCCAAGGGCAAAATTTTCACCTTCAAGACCAACAAATCATATGTTTCCTTCTTGCCCAATCAATAATTGTATAGTATTCAAGCTCAAAAGTCCATTAAACAATACAAATTTTTGGAGCAGAGCAAACAAGGATCTCTAAAACATCAGAGGTTGGATCAGATGCCAGGGAGGAGTAAGCATCCCCTGCCGACCGGTCACACCGCCGTGTGCTCCTTGTCATGATCGAGAAATAACAGAAAAATCCGTCGACAATTCAGTGTGTAAATATGGCCTGACAATTATTATGAAAAACGTCAATCAGCATATGACTTATAGCATATAGATTGTATTTGCTGACAAGGTCATTGTATCGACCATAGAACTTACGAAATGACGAATTTAAACAAGAACATTTGTATCTAGCGCGTTCAGAAAGCGCTAAACCAAATCTTGGCCCTAGTATTTGTTGTAAATACAATTTCTGCCAAATATTGTACGCGCTAAAAAGAACTGCAGTAATTAGGAAAATATATGAAAAAGTAATGGTTTGAAAAATATACTGAATAGATTATTCACCTTTATACAAGGGATGAAGATATATTGTAAATAACAAAAATGGTTCAAGGCATCAATCATGGGATAAGGGCATGACTTCTAAGTCTCTTTAAAATTGACTTAAAATGATATTTCAAAAACTTCAATATTTTGCTCATTATGAGGACTAGGATCATCAAATCGTGTCACTTTGAGGTATCTAATCAGTTGATCTGGTTTTGGGCCTTCGGATGTTGATCCTATGATGTAGGTCACAGTAACAGTTTTGTCCATGTGTTGCTATGGGGAAACCCCAAATATGTGTCCGATCGGAACGTAAAATAGCAGGTGCGAAATAAAGAATTTGTAATAAAGAATCCTTGAAAAGGAGTTGCGGATAAGAGATGGATACCCTCAATATTATAGAAAGCATGACAGTGTAAAAGTTCTGCTATGGGAAACCCCAAATAAGTGTCTGATCGAAATATGAAATACGAGATGCACAATGTCACTATGTAATAAAGATTTTGTGAAAGTTTCATTAAATTGCATTCTGTGATGTAAGAGAAGTTGCGGATAAGGGATGACTGCCCCCAAATGTAACGAACGGACGGACACTTCCATCACAATATACTCCCCAACTTTCAAACGGAGGTAAGAAAACAGGAAAATGGAACGTTTACCAGACTAGCTGTTCCCTTTTCCCATAGACTTGATTCACTCGGCACACCTCGGCCGATTCGTACCTCATCTAACCTCGGCTGTATCATGTAAACCTCCATTGAACCGGAGCTACTTTATACACAATATAGCTGCGCCCTATAATTACACGTGCACAGTGTGCTGAATTCGATCCGTTAACAAACATGTGATTATGTAAAGTTACTAAGTGCATGTTTCTTGGTAAGTGTTTTATTTTTAGTGTTACCTAAATGCTTTTCAAAATTTTTAATCGTATGTCGATGCATGTTTATTATCGTTTTCAAAGCGTTACATTTTCCCTAAGCGGTAAACAGGCAGCCTTATCACAAATGTTAAGCGAAGACGCCGAGGTTTGATGAAGGTGACGGAATCAGCCGAGGTTTGCCGAATGAGGCTTGATTTAGCTGGCAGTCCGTGATAAGTGTTTCTTTCTGGGCTCTATAATACCATTTTCGCTAAGTCATTTAACACCTATATTTTTACATTGATAATGTGAGAGAACGTAGGCCATTCTTTTGTATGAATTGATTAATTCTGTGAAGGTTCGATCTGAGTTTTGATTGTAAATGTTTATCCCCATCAATGGGATTCCTAAGCAATGATCGACTCCTCAATCAAAATACTATTTAAAGCTTGGAGAAGCTATTAACATTTCAAATAATCAATGAAAATAATGGTCATTACGTAATGTAATATTGTAAAGGGATTTATTTATGACAACACACACACACTTGAAAATAATTCTCAGTGTCAAAAGGTCTGAAAGAGATCAAGGTATCCGATGCATGAATAGCTAAATGTTTTCCTAACAAATACTTCAATATAGTCAAAATCAAGGAAAATGTATACTTATTCCAATGGATAGTAAAAAACCTAATTGATTTAAAATAGAAGCCTATGGACAGAGTCCATAAAAAATAAAGAAATGATTTTTTTTTGGGGGGGGGGGGGGCAGGTCAAGCGATCTTTTGAAACCTTCCAATCTGATTTTTTTTTTAAGATATATGGTTATTAATTTAAAATGGCTGACAAAGAATAATTATGAGAAAAAGATATGTAAGTTGACTATACATTTATGAGTGTAATTGGCTGTCATAATTTTATAATTTGAAATTAGCTTGAATCCTAGATTCATTAAATATACATTACTAAGTGTACTTAAATCTGTTCAAATTCGAACAAAAGAACCATTAGATTGTTTGCATGTCAAGTTAATCACACTCTCTGATAAAATATGGCATCAAATTGACCATTAAAGGATATTTTAAGTTGTAGATTTTGAAATATTAACTGAAACCCTAACTCAGTGCTCTAACGATATATAGAGAAAGAATCAGAAAATGTTGTTATTCCTGTATTTTGTTTCTTTCCTATTTTGCAACGTTGGGAAGACCAACGCCAGCAGCGAGGAACAGTTATTGAACGATTTGTTTACAGGATATAACAAATATAGAAAGCCTGTTAAAAACTATACAAAGGATCTGTATGTTGGAGTGAAGCTGAGGCCCTTGATGATAACAGCAATAAACGAACGAGCTCAGACGTTTTCTACCTCATTGTGGATAACCTACTACTGGTTCGATGAAAATTTGCGATGGAATCCAAAATCATACGGACAGGTTTTGGCCTTACGTGTCGGTCTGGAGCAATTGTGGTTTCCAGCAGTTTGCATAAGAAATGAACTGAGTGAGCAAAAGTGTTTAAATTTTGGCGAGAAAGGGATAGCATTCATACTGTATAACGGAGCTGTGTTGTACAATAAACCTTTACAAAGCACCATTCAATGTAAACTGGATCTATCTTATTATCCTCTTGATGAGCACATTTGCACCTACATGATATATCCCTATTCAAGTCTAGCTCATTATTTTAGTTTCTCTCAAAAAGAAATAAGTATAGATTTAACGTTTTATGAAACAAATGAAGAATGGGAAATAATTTCAACATCCATATCCACGGAAGTGGACGACAGAGTAATGCCGTTGATTCCTAGAGGAACACGTTTTAATATTTTGGTGAGACGCCGACCACGTTACGTCCTAACAAACATTTTCGTTCCTATTTTCCTGTTATCTGTTTTGAATCTGATGACGTTTCTTTTACCAATCGAATCTGGAGAGAGAATGGGGATGACATTAGCAATATTTCTCACCTTTGCAGTTTTTCTGACACTCATCAGTGACTTTATGCCGAAGTCGTCAGAAAATATGTCATATTTTGGTATCTATATGGCCGTTCAACTGTGCATTAGTGGACTAACCATTATTTTACAGACCATTATGATAAAGATTTATTTTAAAGAGTATGTGCCACCTAAAAATCTACAAGATTCTGCAACACATAACCCAGATTATTGGAAATTATTTGCCGGGAAATTGGAGAAATGTTTTGTTGCCTTCGTTACGTTGGCTACTGTTGGATCCACCTTTTACCTAATTCTGGGGCTCACTGTGATGCGGAGGGACTTGATTAATTGAACTATATGTTTGTGATGTAATTTTAGGCAACACCGTATTGTACGAGGAAATTTTTTATTTAGAGTCATATTTTTTTAGTTTATTTAAGCAAAAAAGTTAAAAGAAAAAGTTAAAATCTACTAGAATAAGAATACACTACACAAAATTACTAACGCACCACTCGTTATTCTTATTTGTGAATTGATCATTTTCCTGATCGGTCCTAGTGTACAATATATGCCATCTTTTCCAAAACAGTTGGATTGAGAAATGTCTTCGTGTCATGATAAGACGCTTAAGGAGGAGAAGGACCTTGAGCTGAAAAAATACTTGTCATTCAATTTTTTTCAGATTTTGTATATTTCTAATTAAGTATGTCCCACATATCTTAAAGCAGTTATATCATTAGGTTTCTTACCTTATTTTGGAGATATTGACTGACAAATACTATGCCCTACAGTATCTAAGTGGAGTTTTAATTCTCCATGTTTTCGGGCTCATTACTCTGTCCATAATGGGATTTTTTAAGCATACACAAAAAATATCAAAGTGGACATGTATCTTTTAAAATATTTCAGAGTATAACTAGGATTTAAAATTCGAAAAAGGAAGTTTTGTCTATCACACTGCATCTGGGTAAGGAAAATTACACACTTTTTAAGACAACTTAAACAATAAACAACGTAATTTAAAAAAAATTCTATCATTCAATATCTTTTAATTTACATTGAAATGCAAATCCTTCATATTATTGATTAACTGTAAAAATCTCGAATGGTGAAGCTGACCTCAGTATTGCACAGGACATCGTTAAAGAGGACATAAGCATGACAAAAACGTGTCATGTTACATTTCTCGAGTACGGGAAAAACCAACTATGACGTCACATGTAAGCTAAATAAGCGAAATAAGATATACCTACATAAGATTTCCGTCATCAGCCATGCAAAAATAATTTTTGTGTTCCCCGTTTCTCAAAATAT